AAATATATTTTTATATATATATATATATATATATATATATATATATATATATATATATATATACACCTATATATATATATTTATACATATGTGAAATAATATTAACCTTTATTTTTTTTATTTACATAGTTTCCCCCTCACCCTCTGTGGTGGTTTAGAAGAATACGGACTCAGGCGGATAGTGAACAGCTGGGAGAAAACAGGAATTTACCCCAATCTGGTCCTGCCCAGACGCTGGTTAGTGCCTAAAGCCCATTCAGCATTGGGCAGCTTTGCATTAAACAGTGTTGCTTCTGCATGACTGGGTGCCAATGCCTGCCTCTCTCTGCCCCTCGTGGCCTTGACCCATCCTCACCCCAAGCAGCCACCCACACTGGGAAAGCACAGCCCCTGATTAACACCCTACCTGACTCTCGGAGGAGCTCCCATCATCCCCCAGGAGCTCGTTCCGCACCTCATCACTGTAGGCAATACGTGACCTTTTCTGCAATGGGAAGGGGTTGAGAGAGAGGGAAAAACAAGAGGGGCAAGGGGAGAAAGAGAGAAAAAACAAGCATTAGTTCACTTGACTTGAAAAATCCCACATTTCTAAAGCACGAGAGCCCCCTGTTGGATCAGCAAATGAAACAAAAATACTTACACTAGGTGATATACTGAAGCAAGTGAGCAAGTGTGTGTGTGCGTGTGTGTTATGGAAAGAGAGAAAGTGTGCTTGCGTGTATGTGTAATATAGTGTGGCTTGAGTGAACCGGAGCCCTTGGATACAATAGCAAAAGCCCCCCTTTCACTTAAATAAATAAAAAGTGTAGAATGGTGGACCGTAGAACAAGACAGAGGCAGGGAGCGTCTTAGGAAAGTATCAGTTGTCAGAGGGAGATGTGTTCTGGGGGCTGTCACTGCTGTCAGTCCTGTTCTCTGGCAGACCCTGTGATAATACCAAGCCAGGGAGCTAGACAGAGAATAATTCATCACCCAGGTCGACGCGATTGGCGTGCCATCAGATTTGGGCTCGTTCCTCTGTCTCTCCTCTGCTACGCAGTTGGGAAAAAGAATGCCGTGTCCAAAAAAGAAAACACACACACACACACACACACCCAACACTTCAGAGCGTGCCACCTCCGATTCAGTGAGCGCAGAAGCCGAGTATGGCATGTTTACAAACACACCCGACCTCTTCAAATACCCTCCAAACTAAACACACACTGGTGGTGCGGAGGAAAAAAAAAACACACTGAGATAACGTTTACCAAGAGCCCTTTGCTTCCCTCTGTTCGCTCTTCCTGCAGGCTGGCAGTGTTCGGGAGGATGAGAGCAGGGAAAGGTGCAGGCGAGCCACGGGAAAACTAAACAGCAAAATAACTGCTATCCAAGAACTGCATTTTGTGATGCAATGCTGTGTCACAATTGCTTGCAGAGGATGCAGTCAAATCCAGGAGGATAGGACATGAAAATATGTTAAAAATAAAAAGTAGAGTTTGTTCAGAGAGTTTTATCAGAGTCTACAATTTATGATCAATTTAACATCTAAAAATGTGTAGCAATGAATTTGCACCATGCTAAATGTTTAGAAATATATCTATCTATCTATCTATATGTGAAGTTTATAGTTTTAAAATCTCTGTTTAAAAGTATTTAAATAACACGCACATATATTTATATGAATTTATATATAAATATGCATACATGTATATAAAAAAATTATATATATATATATAATGTAATATAATTAATATAATAATATAATCCTATAATGTGTGCATTTTCAAAATACATTTGAACAGAACATTCAAAGCTTTCAACTTCTTGCCGATAAATGAAGAAAAACATAGAAATTCTAACAACTTGCTTTCTTTTTATATCCTTATACTTATGTGAAATAATACTAACAATCTTTTTTAACATCATTTCTCCACACTCGGTGTTTAAGGAACTTTGAAAGCAGCAGTTTATTTATTGATTTATTTTTGAGTGGGGGGGGGGCATCTTTAGTAGAGTAAGTAGTAATGAATTTGCACTATTCAACATTTTTTAAACTGAATGTAGCATTCATAATATTTTGATCACAAACAAAAGTAGTTAATATAAAGCGCAAATGCAGGAATTGAGATTTCTAAAAAGGAGACTGACAGATCATTCGGTTTTAAAATATATGTGTGTCATATCTCGTGTCATTTCATATTTAACATTATATTCATGGTTTATATTTGTCTCCACATTATTTCACAAACGAGCACCACAAACAAAGCGCATCTTCTGACAAAAAAAAAACACACACACACACACACACACCCACCCACCCACATGCTCCATCTTAGTCGAGTTACACCTTAAAGAACAGCAGAGGAACTTTGGGGAATGTCGGCATGTTCATAATTGAAAACGGAAGCCTTGGAGATGCCTTCATTTGAATGCACACACTGTCGTCTTCAAACCCTATTTTTGTTTCATTCTTCTTCTTCTTCTTCTAAATAGCTGTTTGTTGTAGCTGAGAGCATCAACCACTTTCACGATGTAACCTTTGAGTGCATCTTGCACAAAAAGAATGGCAAATGCAGCCTTAAGTCTTCGAAGGGGAAAACTAGTCATAGAAACAAAGCGATACTCCTCTCCCAGCCCGTTTACACCATTTTGCAACTCCCCCTGCAGTAAAACAACCCTCACACTGATTATTCTCCCTTCATCTGCTGCTACAGCACAGCAGCTGGGCAATATTGACTGCTTAACCCTAGAAAATACTTTGATTGGTACTTTGCATTAGATCGGAGCCGAGTTATAGTTTATTAGAATTATTTATTTTCCTACTTACTTATCTCCTATTTGCCATGCATTAATAAAGTGGTGCTATTTATTTAGATCATTGGGGTATTGCATATTTAATCACGACCCAGAATGACCTAAAATCAATTGGAATGATATGAAAGTTTTAAAAAATACTAAGTTCTCGCTTTTCAAAAAATACAAAAAGAAGAAATAATCAATGGATTTTAAAGTTCCTACATATTGCATAGTTCATCTGGAGCACTCAAATATAAAACCTGCACTAAAACATAAAAACCCAGAGAGAAGGCTTTGTAATTGTAAGAATGAAAATACCTTATTGCAACAGAAAAAAAAGTGAAATCTTTTTTTAATCTGTTTGAAAGGTCTTTCTCTTGTCACTTGCTTTAATCTTGGGTGAGAATTTGCTTCTATTCCCAGAAGCATAGGGAGAAAGTACAAAGAACCGTCTTAACTTTATGCAAAGTGGTCTGACTGCCTTTTAAAACACATGTCTCATCAAACCAGAAAGGAGGGTTTTTGTGTCCTGTCAAAAATGTGTGTTGTATGTCTGTTGACGTGATGTACAATGCAAAAAATAAAATAAAAATAAATAAATAAAACTGTTCAACCAAATCATAATAGCATATGCATTGTGCAGGCTAAATATTTATATCAGCTAGAAAAATTACCTTATATCGTCCGTGTACTGAAAATCATATGAACAAAACTGCAGCAGATATAGAAAAACAATTAAAAACATCTTATTTAAAACATCCAAAAAAACCTATGTGGTTTCAGTTGTAACAATATTATTAATTAAAAGGATTAAAACCATTATAAGAAAAAAAAACCTAAACTTTAGTTCTAAGGGCATGGAAAAATATATAAAAATGTTAGAAATAATTACCACAAAAATGTCTTATTATAAATCAACTGCTATCTCTTATTGTTCATCATTATAATTGCATTATTATAATTTTTTTCAACACACTGCACACTGACAGCAAACGGCAACACAAGGACACAAATAATAATGAAACCTGAACTGCAGCAAAAGTAAACAGTTCATTAGATAGGCATTAAAAGGCATAAAAATTCCCAGGGGCAGAGTTTAATGAGAGGCCCTGAAGTGACACTGCCAAAGCTTTTTCCTCCACTTTTCCACTCGGAAACCACACGGCTGGTGGCAAACCGTGAAGAGTAATTAATGATATTTAATTTATAAAGTGTGTTTCATTAAGTATTTCTCACCAGTGGGAAAATGTCTGGCCAGTTCTGATTTCGAGTTAATGGGACTTTAGTCAAAAACAATGTGGCTGCCTCAAATTGCCATTTAACCTTTTCTTTCTGCAGCTAATAATCTGCTGAAAATGTTTAAGGGGAATTCACAAGGGGGGGGGGTAAGCAAAAAATAATAATATTCACATCATATTGCTGATTGGTGGAACAAAAAAAAATCTAGAAAGCAAATGAGAAAAAGACTATGGCTAACAATGAATGGCATTAAATATAAAAAAAATGTGATTGTTATTAGGGCATTGTGTGCATGCATCTTGTGTGTTTTGTAATGTTAAGCTGTGTTTAGCAACAGTGGACAAAGCATCATGTGTTTTTTTTTCTGAGTGCATCTGGTCTAGAGTAAAGTGCTGTAGTGGTTGAAGAAAGCAAAGACCTTTTCAAGCAGGCTCCAGTATCACAACAGTCTTAAATAATGCATCTCATCCTAGCAGGGGTCTAACACCATCCGCAAGCAGAAAGAATACTACTCACACATGCACAGGAAGCTTTACATCCACCCGCACACACATAATGCTGCTTTTCTCTTTTAACATCTAGAAAATAAATTGTAGGAGGTTGTGCACTTGGTTGTGTTTTTTTTTGTGTGTGCTTGATACAATATCAGATAAAGGCACAAAGTAATGATGGTCGAAGGAGGGTCTTTGTGTGATTTGTTCTTTAGTCTTTGGTAATAGATGGACAGATGTGTTTGGTTTAGTGCGCGTTGGTGTGACATTTACGTTAGTCACTTGCGGTAAAAATCGCAGGAGCTGTACACAGCACATGGACTGATATCAGCATGGTGTCTCTCAACACACAGGTTACTGGTGTGTGCCTTTAATTCACGAAGCATTGTGTACTAAAAAAACAAAGCATGAAGAAAAAAACATCAGGAACAAATGGAGGCCACAGAGATTAAAATTGCATGAATATGCAATTGTGATATATCAATGTAGAGTTGAATATTGCTCTTTGTCCTTAAATAATTTTTTTTATATATATTTATAATATTTTTATAAAAAACACAATTCTGATATAACTTTAATAATTATATCATATTAGTGAAAATAATTAAATGACAAATTGCTGTGGCTAAGTTCTATCAACAATTGTTGTAGATTTCCATATTAAAATGATTTTATTAATATTATAAAAGTAATTTTTATAAATATATATTCGTTTTATATTTCCAATTTATTCCAATTTTTAAAAATTACAATTTAATTTAAATGCTATTTTATGTTATCCTGAATGCAGTAATGGAACAGTTTTCATTATCGTTTTATAATTAAAGTAATATGTTTTCATAAATAATCTAATAGGTCCAAATATTACAAAAAAAAAAAATATATATATATATATAATAAAACAAAAGTTATGAAAATTACTGTCCATAAAATAAAGATAAAACTCTGTAATTATTAAGAAACATCATACATAAAATTA